AGATTTGCTCTCTATTTATCTGCTGTGGCCTGTTTTGCCAGTGCTGGTGGGGTGGGGGTTCTGTTTTGCTCTTCTGGTAGTTCATTGTATGTTGACTGCTTGATTGTGTGTCGGGTGGTGACCTTTGCTTATCTGGGTAATGATTGCTGGAGATGATTGCTGGTGATTGAATGCTGGTGAGGCAATCTTCTGGTCTTTTGTCTCTTTTGAATAGTATGTAGTCCCATATCATCCCATTTTAGCACTGAAGATGTTACCTAGCCAGGTAATGAAACGTTTGCAAGAAAAGAACCAAGCTCAGAGAACCCCAAGGACTCCACAGTTCCCTGAGTCTAGCCTGCTGGGCAGTCAGCCACTGGCTGTACTGAGAAACAGGAACTGGTGCTTCCATCATCCAAAACATTATTTATTTATCAAATTTGTCATTGCCCATCTCACTGAAACGACTCTGGGCAGTTTACAGCAAAGATAAAATTCATTAAAACACAATATAAAAGAATCCTAATAATAAATAACTTCCAAGAAAGATGGAGAGTTGATGAATAACTCGGGGAGCATTGTCAGGGTGCCAACCACCCCGAAGGATGGTTAGAGCTCATGCCGCCCCATGCACACTGGCAGAGCCAGGTCTTTACTCCTTCCTGGAAAGCCGGGAGGGTAGGAGCCCACTGTACCTCTGGGGGGAGAATATTCCAAAGGGCGGGGGCAACGGCAGAGAAGGGTCTCTTCTTGGGCCCTGCCAGCCGACATCTCTCGCTGACGGGGTCCGCAACATGCCCTCTCTGCCTGACCGGGTGGGACAGGTTGATATAAGGGGGATGAGACGGTCCCTCAGGTAGCCTGGCCCCATGCCATGTAGGGCTTTAAAGGTGATAACCAACACCTTGAATTGGACCTGGAAGCAAACTGGCACCCAGTGCAGCTCCTGCAGCAAAGGTTTTACATGTGCCACATCCTAGGGGCACCTAATATCATCTGCGCGGCTGCATTTTGAACGAGCTGTAGCTTCCGGATATTCTTCAAGGGTAGCCCCATGTAGAGCGCATTAGCATGAACAACATACATTACTGGCTCTGCTTATACTAGATTACACCCAACTTTCATGAAGGAAAGACCACTGGCACACACCAAAGAGAGTTAAGAGAGAGCACACTTTAATTTAAATTTCATACCTCTCTGAAGACTCATCCCACTCCCCACCTCCACCGTCACACCATGCTATAAGCCTTACCTTATAGGGGTCGGCTGGGTCTTCCCACGCAACGTGGAACATGTGACGGATCTCTTCAGCCAAGCCAATCCTGGCACCACTGTTGGCAGCGACATAAATCCTGGGGACACCCTGCATGCGAGCCAGCTCTGAGGCTCTGAGAAAAAGCAAGTCTTCTTGGGGGCCAAAGGACCCGATCCAGTACGTGATATCATTGCTAATGACGATAATGTCTCGGCCATCTGGATATTCAGGAGACTTGAGAGTCATGCGCCAAGCCACCATTCCAATCTGCAAAGATGAGAATTGATGGTGTTGCATTATTGATTGCTGCTAGGATTAGAACAGCGTTTCTCAACCTTGGTCACTTTAAGATGTGTGGACTTCAACTCCCAGAATTCCCCAGCCAG